GATTAGTTGCTAAGAAACGGTCTTTGTCTGCCGTAACTTAGCCCAACAACAGACTTTATCACATGAAACATCATGGCAAATTCCCTGACCAACCCACAGAAATTGTGTTCACTTATTCCTCAGTACCTTTAACCAACGCGTAACTAAAAGCCCTATCTCTGGGCCCGAAGTTCTACGATATTAAATTCAACACCGACAAACTTCATTCTTATGTATAGCATGGAGGATTTAATCATGAGCTGACATCAGTTAGAGAACCACTGGAAAACCTGGGAGTACTGGACAGTTTTCGTCCTAGTTTGGGACTCTTCATCAATACGCACCCACCACAGGGGTTCGAACCCAGGACCTTCTGGTTACAAGGCGAGCTCGTAGACCGTTGAGCCACTGGGACCCGATCCAATGGTCCTTGAATTCTAACTTCTGCCAGTTCACGCTTGACATAGCGCGACCACTTCGCAATGTCTTCTTCGATGAGTTACTGCCTCATCTTCAACCTGCTGTACCCTACTGGTCACGGCTTCCCACTAGAACCCCAGGTTAACTGCCTGAATAGGGCCAGTCACTAGTGAGCATCAGATTAATTTTCAAGTATTGGTTTTGTAGGGATTTTGTTTGATTGCATGGAGGATTTAATCATGAGCTGACATCAGCTAGAGAACCACTGGAAAACCTGGGAGTACTGGACAGCTGTTTCGTCCTTTCTTATGCATAGTTTGAAAATCTAATCAACCGAACGAACGATCTCATCCCAAATTCTGAAGATGAGTTACAGAGATTCAAGTCAACAATCATCGACTGCTGCCATCAATACCTGAATACAAAAGCAAAAGTCTGCAACCACCTAGCAAAGCGACACAGAGAAGAATTCAAACAGTTGAGAGATAACAAAGACCTGCTAATAACTCGTCCCGACAAGGTTGTCGGTGTAGTGCTTCTGGATGGAACAGACTACATCGAGAAAATGGACAATACACTACCAAATGAAGAAAAATTTTCCCAAACTTCCAATGAAAGAAACAAAACGGAAGTGATTGAGAAGCAGCTCACAGACGTCCTGAAGAGAATGGAAGCCAGTCATCTGATCAGTTGCAATAACTATGACCAGATCCGGCCAATAGGTTCAGTAATACCAAGACTTTATGGTCTACTATAGGTACACAAGGTTGGTCACCCACTTCGTCCAATTCTGGATGTGTGAGGTTCCACTTATCCCTCTATTGCAAAATGGCTGGCAGATATTCTGGAACCTGTAAGGAAACAATTATTCACGCATTCGCTCCGTGACACTTTCCAGTTCATCGACTGCATACAAGACTTGAATGTATCTAACAAAACTATGCTGTCCTTCGACAGTGAGTCACGGAAACGGTCTGCTTTATTTACAAATATACAGATGAGAACCATCTCACCACTGGAGTACTAATAGCATATTTGAAGGAATTACTACTGAGATGCATACTGAACGTCCAGTTCACTTTCAACGAAACCGTCTACATACACAAATATAGTATTTCGATGGGATCTTTGTCGGGTCCACTATTATCAGAATGCTTCGAGGGAAGCCTTGGGAAAGGTCCACTGAGACCGAGTATCGACATTTTGCGACTGTATAAAAGATACTCATTATTTGTGACAACAGTAATGACCCAATCTACTGCTGAAGACATTTAACTTTTGCCATCTAGCAATAAAATTCACTCTTGAAATGGAAAATCAATCAAACATTCCATTTCTTCTTGATGTGAAACTAACAAGAACTGTTGGGCGTCTAAGAAGATCGATCCATAGAAAAGCTACTTGGAATGATCAACTAACAAGCTTCTATAGCTTCTACCCATTCAACAAAAGCGGAATTTAATTGAATCACTTGCCACCCGCATCCGATCCATCTGTAGTCCGTTGTTTTAGGAGGAGAATTAGATCTTTTGAGAGAAATCTTCATCCAAAATAGATACCCACTAGGATTCTGTGACAAAAATATCAAACCAAGAATTTGAAGAAACGAAAAAGAAACTCTACGTGAACTTGGATTTCAAGGTAGATTCAACAAGCGATGTTCTCAGGAGAATGATCACATCATTTCTGAGAAGAACATTGTTTGCAGCAACGCTAAGAATAGTGTTCTGCAGTCGCCCAGTGATCTGCAGAAGCCTCAAGGACAAGATCCCGCATCTTCTATGTGCATACATTAGTTCACCGGCTGCTGTAGAGCCAGGTACATCGGATGTTCGACGCGTACCCTATTCAAGTGGATTCAAGAACACTATCCAGCATGGTTGCGAAAAGACAATAGTGGTGCTATAAGGAGTGCGATAATTGAAAACCTGGTTAACACTGATCATTGCATCTCAACAAACGCCTCTTCCTTCGAAATAGCCTTCAGAGTCAAGAATAACCTACCAAAGGCAATACGGTCTCGTCTTCTTTGTATTATCGAAGCTCTAGCCATTCATATGGAAAAACAGGAGCTGTGCATACAAAAGAGAATTACTCAATAACCACTTCTACTGTCATGGTAACAAATTTGTTGATTTCTGATGACTTAATTTTGTTTGTTTGCCTGTTTCTTTAGTTGCTTATAATTTTTGTTTGTTCGTTTAGAACTCTTACGTGATTTCGTATTCCCTAATTTGTTTCTGAATGCATCCTGAGTACAACTCAATCATCGAACTATTTATATTGTTGCGTAACTCCTTTCTAACAACTGTTTGTGACAACTCATCACCTTTGTTACTACACTAGTTTCATTACCATCTAATTTTCTTGACTGTTTTTGTATTACGTAACTCAACACAAAACTTACTAATTCTCGCCTCTTTAGTGAAATTAACTATAAATAATTGTATTATGGTTTGACATACATAATGTACGCATTCATGCAAAATAACGCATATATTCCTGGGCCATTGGATCGAGTCCCAGTGGCTTAACGGTACACGAGCTCGCTGGCCTTGTTACCAGAAGGTTCTGGGTTCGAATCCCGGTGGGTGAGTACTGATGAAGACTACCAAACTAGGACGAAACAGCTGTTCAGTACTCCCAGGTTTTCTAATAGTTCTCTAACCAATGTCAGCTCATGATGAAATCCCCTAACCAACCAAATCCTTACAAACCAACACTTAAATAACGCATATATGATTGCGATTGAACAGCTAAGAAAATGAATCCGCTGTCGAAAAGAGACTCTTCGTTGAACACTACGTGTTTTCTTTTCATTGATAGCGAAGCCTCAACTTTGATCCAACAACGCTTAGATGATCTAACTGCACACATGAAAATTGTTCGTGAAATTTATTTTCGGATATACATGAAGAATGTGGAAACGATGTTTATCAATTACCTTGGATACGCACGGATGACTATAGTTTCTAAATGTGAGTCTCTGAGATGTTGACAAATAGGATGCTTCTGCTCATGAAATGATGAATGCACAGTTAGAGTGAGTCTAAGTTGGAGGAGTATTTCTCGCATAGAATAATATAGATAGTTACAGTGAATGAGTACGGGATAGGCGGAAATGAGTATTCTGGATTCCGCTGGTGGTCAGTAGCAACCCAAATAAAGTCACACAGTCACTAGTTTACAGTCGAACTGAAATGACTACAATGAAGGAGCCGAAAAGATGATTGGTTACGATAGAGCTTACTACTAACTCTGTATTTGGTGCGAAAGTGTCAAGTTCCCCTACGTATAGAAACCACTGCCATGCACACATCGTGTCAACTTCGCAATCATACAGATTGATCAGTGGTATAAAAAGGTAATAATAACAGAGCTTGATACGAGGAATGGTTCAATATAATGGTTCACATTATTACAGAGAGGGAGTTTGACTCGAAAATGTCTTTTCTAAACGTTCAGCCAACAAGACGTTAAAGATCTAATTGAATTTCATATTTTCCCGCCGATTGATTGGACCGAAATGCTCGGTCTCAGGTTGACATGTCGGCTTCCTGTTCAGATGCTTCGACGATGTCTGGGCATTTAATTAGTATTTAATTGGTGGATGGTGACTAGCAGTGGAATCCAGGATAAAGCGCATTTCGTCCTATTTGGGACTCATCAGCTGGATGTACCTACATTTCTCAGTGAGTGGTGATGTCTCCACTGAGAAATGCTGGTACATTCAGCTGATGAATCCCAAATAGGACGAAATGCGCTTTATCCTGGATTCCACTGCTAGTCACCATCCACCAGATGTACTGTTCATCAGTCCGCTCCATCCTCTTTTATGGCTGTGACTGAGACCTGGCCATTGAGAGTGGAAGACATGAACAGCCTGAGGGGCTGTCTTTGATCATAGGTGCCTGCGTTCTATCTCCCATGTGAAGTGGTATAATTAGGTGAGCAATATTGAGGTTAGGCACCGGTCGAGTTCTAGGTAAGGAGGGGAAATCAATGGACGAGGCTGTGAAATTACATCGATTGAGATGGTTAGGACATGTGTTACGCATGCCTAGTCATCGCCTTCCACGACTGACGGGCAAGGTTAGCTGACATAGGGTCAGCCTGGGAGACAGCTAGCGGCGGTCAAACCAAAACATGGCACCAGTCAATGAAATCCACAACACTTAGTCTAAACCACGTAGGAAGGTGTAGACTTCCTGACTGGTTGGGGTCCTCGGGACGGTAAAAACCAGTGACTGGAGACTATTGGTGATATGTCTCAAAGTGATCGTTCTCAATGGCTAGCGCACATGCATCCACTCCTTGTGACTTATGATTTCCAATGAAACTATATTGTTCTTCGTTATTACTATTCCTTTGTCTCACATCTCTGTTTACTGTCTCTATTATGCATTTCTTCTACTTTCTTCTCTTGCTTTGTGTGGTACAAGGAGGGAGTGTGGTGACTTGAACTGCCGCACATCGGTGCAAAGTTCTATGTCGAAAACAGAGAGACAGACATTAATGAGAACAGTATACAGTAGGGTGGGGGGAACATGTCATAGGGAATGAAATCAGCACAAAAAACATGCTCTATTCGGTCGTCAGTGTGAGGATGACATGGGAGAGGAGGAGGAGGTCATGCGAAGAGGAGATGAAAGCATTTGGGGAAACGTGTGGAGCCGCCAGATGATAAAAACGTTGTTGGAGAACCAAACTCAATGGAGAAGTGCCCGGCTGAATCCTTATGTTCCTGTCTAGGAACTTAAGCAGATAATAATAATTATTATTTATTTAATTATTTATATGCCTATATGTACACAATATTTAAAGAAACCAAAAAAAAGAGATAAACGCAGTTAAATAGATTGAAATTATGGTGAATCACGATATCGTTGAAATTTGATATTTTTACGTTTATTCATCTTTTTATATAAATATCTTTGTAATTTATATTCATCTTGCAGTTTGGTTGGTTCAAATTCTTCCATCCATGCAACAATAGCTGAATTATTCAGTCGGCCGCATACACGTTGATATTCATTTCGTGCACCTAATATCCACGGTGGTCCAGTGTAGAAATCACGTGGTTTGATTTTTCCATCACCAAGAATATCTGTTGAATGAAAAGAGCAATAGGAAGTATATACAAGAACATTAATAACAATAATGTTTAATTCAAATTCAGATTTTCCCATCGACTGATTGGACCGAAATGCTCGGTTGCGCAGCTGGACATGTCGGCTTCTTGCGCAGATGCCTCGACGATGTCTGGTCATGTAACTTGAAGTCAATCGGTTGATGGTGACTAGCAGTGGAATCTAGTATGCACATTTCGTCCTATTTGGGACTCGTTGGTGTCTGGATGTACCTACCTGCATTCCGCAGTGAGTGATGGCGTTCCCACCGAAAGTTCATCAAACTGACGAGTCCCGAATAGGATGAAATGCGAGTTATCCTGGATTCCACTGCTAGTCACCACGCACCAATTCCCTCCTAAAACATGCCCAGACATCGCCAAAGCATCAGCACAATAAGCCAACAAGTCAACCTGAAGCCGAGCACTTTGGTTCAACCAATCAACAGGAAAATCTAAAATTCAGTTAAATAATTAATATGACCCGTTGCACAAGAGGTGGTTCTCGTAGCCCATGTGGTCTAGTGGATAACACTTTGGCGTTTGAAACTATGGACACTGGGTTTGAGCCTCGGTGGTAGCATCACCACTCACTGGGGAGTGCAGGTACATCCAGACACCAACGGGTCCCAAATAGGACAAAACGCACATCGTGGGTTCCACTGCTAGTTGCCACACACCAGTTAACTTCTTATAATAATAATAATAGTTTTATTCCAAACAGTACATTTGATTAAAGGGAGAACTGTGGAATCTCCTCCCCCTTACTGAGAAAAACTACACGCTTAGGAGAACCTGCTAAGGATACGTTACGACTCTCAAACCCACCGTGATGAACCCTCAACAGAAGTCACCGGGGAATTTTCGATCACTCTGAACCCAGTGTGCCAGGTGAGGTAATAAACTAAGGCCCTAAAAATAAACCCTCGCCTATTTAACTAGTCGGTGTCTGAAGTATCGGAATACGGGTTGGGTGTGTATGTGTCTGTGGGGGGGGAGGGGCGGAGTAGCAACTGAGTGCAGTGAAAAACACTCTTATCACAAGTGGTACTTTATGGCACACAAAAATAAACTTGGAATTGAGAAGGCTTCTCATTTCGAGAACGGATGAGACCGGTCGATGAGAAAATCTTCCGGAAGTCAGTCAGCCGATAAGTCTTCTTTCGATGAAAGCAAAAGTAGGCATATGGCCTGGGAGGCGTGGAGTGCCCACACTATATTTGAAATCGATAAGGCTAGTCAGATCGCAAAAGAAATGAGAACATATGGTAGAGAAGTGTTAGAAATCTGTGAGAGTAGATGGAATAGAAGTGGATTCTACAAACTGCTAAGTAAAGAGTCGTACTTAGTTCAATGAGATAAAAAATTCTTTTTTTTACCTAAGACTGACATCGGTACGAGTCAGCTGTCAAAAGACACGACATGTATTCTTTCATATTTGATACATGTAGACAACTATGGACACCAGTTTGATAGAGAAAAAGTGAAGATTTTTACACAGAGGAAACACCAAAAATACTGCTAGAGAATTTCTAGAAGCCTGGAACTCTTATGAATCAGTGATTAACAGACACATTTATTATTAAATAAATATTAACCAACTAATAAAAAAACAAGTCAACGCATGATACGAAAATTCAAATCCCAAGTCAAAGAAAATGACCAACAAAGATTTTACCACGCTGGATGCGTACTGATGAAGAGTCCCAAACTAGGACGAAACAGCTGTCCAGTACTCCCAGGTCTTCCAATGGTTCTCTAAATAATGTCAGCTCATGATGAAAATCCTGTAAAGATATCATTCTATTTCAGAGGTTCTCATCAGCTGCACACCACTACCTGAAATTACAATGTTTATATAGATGATAATAACAAACTTTAATGTTTGAGTGGTAGTAGAGAAGAGATATATTCTCAGAGCGCAATTACGAGACATATTGTTGATACCGGACATCTCATAGAAATTTCTAAGTCCTTCAAAGTATTAAATAGGCATAAGACAGCCAATTTACTACGATTTGCCGAGGCGATCGCAACTAAACGAATCACACCAACCAGACTTATGCGTACAGAAAGAGAGTGTGATTAACCTCTCACTCCATTGGTAACTGAATTTGGATTTTAATTACATTAATTAGTCATTTAATTCAGTGATCTCAACTCACTGAACAAATCTTAATCTCATGAACTGTAACCACTTTTGTCTTATGAGTTGCTATGTGAACCTACAAGCTAACACTGTTCTGTTTATTAATTTTTTCTGTTTTCTGTCTTACCCCTCTCCCTCTTTTCAACTTTACAAGCGTTTAAATTGATGATGAAAACTTGAGCTAAAACTTGTAATGCTTTCATTTCGAATGTGTCAATTTTATATAGTATCTCTTCTCTACAACCACTCAAACATTAATGTATGTTATTATCGTCTATATAACCATTGTAATTTCAGGTAGTGGTGTGCAGCTGACGAGAACCTGTGAAACAGAATGATGATATCGCATTCCTTCCTTTATCAAAATTTATCAAGGAAACCAAGTGTATAAAGTTCTCATAAATGATTATGATAGATAAAATCAATCGCTGGGTAAATGTAGTAAATGTGAGCCGCACTTTATGTGGGAATAGCAAAGCTTGAAAGTTGGACTACATTTAATGAAAATAGTTATCTACATTCATACTACTCATCAGTAATGATAATTCACTTAATAAAACTTAAACTGACTTATAAGTGTATATCTGATGGGCAACGGCCTAACTGAAGTAGGTGGAGAGGAAGTCAAAACTAAGACTCCAGTGGCTGAAAGTTTATTGCTCAGGTAAATGAAGCCGTACTTTCACATTTCAAAGACTCATGAAACAATCTATATTGAAAATCAAAACAAGTGATTCAGCGAAGAGACTCTTTTCAACGAATTTATCATCAAGCTGTACAATCGTATATATATGGCTTTTTTTCAGAAGTTATATCCGGTGAGGGAATTGAATCTTAGGTGTGAATGCATAAAATAATAATAATAATAATAGTAGTAGTAGTATGAAATGCAATTAAAACTAAAATGTTTGTGATTATAATCATAGTTAAATGTCAAGCGGTAAAACAAAATTAATGTCATAGGATGGATAGAACTTGAAAAAGGGTGTGCAATTATACAATTAGTAGACCAATCGAATAAAACAAAAACGTTACGTAATATGGTGTGAAATTTAATAGCATAGAAATTAACGTCGTAAAAAAAGAACACTATCCTGCATGGTTACGAAAAGATGGAAGTGGAGCAATAAGAACATCTGCTCGATAATGATCACCCTATCTCTATAGCCTCAGCCTTTAAAGTCATCTACAAGGCAAAGAGTAATTTATCCAAATCCCTACGTACCCGACTCATCTGTATTGCTGAAGCCATGTTTGGCTAGACCTCTGTGTACAGAAAAAGTTCCTTCATATATATATATATATATATATATATATATATATATATATATATACTACCTTGACCTTGGCGGCCTGTTCGAATTTTTGGGCCTGCTACCAAAATATCTACATTTTGCATCCAGTTTACTGTTTACCAGCATACATTTATCACTTAAATATGAATTCTAACAGAATCATTTACTCTCGTAACTTTATTAATGATTTACGACCAAATGACTTTCATATTCCAAAGAAACCAAGAAGGAAACATCGTAGTGGTTGGCAGAGAGCTCTCAAACGTACACCAATACACTTAACTACGGTCCCCGTCATAATGAACTCAAACTGTCGCTCTCTGCCAAATAAGATAATGTACCTACAATCCCTGATGTCAACTGATACGTATCATAACACCGCCATAATCGCATTACAAGAAACGTGGTTGCATGAACTGTATGATGACAACCTTATCTCACTAAAGGACTTTATTTTATTTCGTCAAGACCGTCAATGTTGTAATAAGAAAAATGGTGGTGGCGTTGCAACTTTTATTCACTCCAAATGGTCTGTCTCAAATAACGTCTGCTTCACCTTCTCAAATGACTTCATTGACTGTATTACTGTCAAATGTCGCCCCAAACATATCCCCAAATATAAACAATTCTATATTACAAACATGTACATTTCTCCTAGTTGCTCTCCATCTGATCTATCTAATTTTGCTGATGAATTCACCATGTTTGCTGCTGCCAACTTCGACAACTCTCTATCCGTTATTACTGGAGACTTCAACACATCGGATTGCTCCTTTCTTGAAGCTCTTGGTCACACAAACATAGTCAAATTTCCCACTCGACTTGACAAAACACTCGACTCGTTTTTACTAATGACGAAGGAGTATATGAAACACGTAGACGTTCACCGATACATAACTCCGATCACTGCATTGTCCGCGTTTTGCCAAAAATATACAGCAAAACACATATTAAAATCTTCTCACACCTGTCTACGAAGCACAAGAAAGATGCTACACATCTGACAACTTACTCAATCTAAGATGCATGTTAAAAGATACCAACTGGGATCTATTCTATGAAAGTACATTAGATGACTCAATCACCAATATAATGGATTATCTTAAGTTCTGCCTCGACATATGCTGTCCCAAACAAACACTGTTCAAACGCCTCGACCGCTTCTCGTCTCCCCGTCTCAAACAACTTCGCAGGCAAAAAGAAATGTTATATAAATGCAAAGACAAGTTAGGACTTAAAAAGATTAATGCTCAAATCAAATCTGAAATCAAAAATCTTAATGCTATCTATAACCAAACACTTTTATCATGCAAATCTCCTAACAGCATGTGGAAACTTTTCAATGAAATTACTGGCAAAAGTAAGCGATGTAATGTTTTTCCCTCTTGTGATGTTAATGCTCTTAATCTGTCTTTTTTACGCTCTCCTTCTACTATAACCACTTCTAACGTTACCAATCTTGTAGCTGATAACTTCCAGGACTTCAATACTCTCGATGTTTTGAAATGTCTTAAAACTCTTAAGCCCTCACATAGTCTTGGCCCTGATAGCATACCTGCATATGTTCTAAAACAATGTGCAGATGCTTTATGTTTTCCTCTAACTAATATCCTAAATGCTTCTTTCTCCGAAAACGTTGTACCTGTTCCATGGAAAGACATTAAAATAGTCCCTGTCCCTAAACCTGGAAATAGCAAGAACGTAAAGTTCAGACCCATCGCCATCACTTCCCCGTTTCTAAAGCTCATGGAAAAACTAGTACTTCTTAAACTCGAACCCTCCCTTAAAAGCTTCGAAGACCCCAAACAATTTGCCTACAGACAGGGTAGGAGTACTTTAGACGCTGCAGCCGTCTTACACAACAGTATTGTCTCATCATTAGACAAAGGTGCCAAATATGTCCGCTGCACGTTTCTTGACTTTACTTCTGCTTTCGACTCTGTACCTAGAAGTCTCTTGCTAAATAAGCTCTCCATGACACAAACCGAGTCCTGGGTCACTAACTGGTTGCATTCCTACTTTTCAAACAGAATGCAGTACACCGTATACAAAGGCCAATCCTCCTCTGCTGTGCTCACAGAAGCTGGTGTCCCCCAAGGTGCTGTACTCTCCCCACTTCTCTTTTCTTTCTTCCTACATGACCTACCGTCTTCAAATGACATTAACTTTGTCAAATATGCTGATGACCTAACTGTATCTTTACCTGTCAAATGTCAAAGTGACTGCTCTAAACTAAATGGCTTCTTATCGGAAATTAGCCAATGGTCCAAGGAAAACGGTCTAACCTTAAACCCCTCCAAATGCCAAACAGTTAATTTCACCCTTAGGCATAAATCTGACCTAAACAAACTGGTTAGCACTCACGAGGTGTGCAACATAGATGGCAGTGAAATAGAAACCAAGTCGGAAATTAAATACCTAGGCGTCACTCTATCTTCTGATCTTTCCTGGTCGTCTCATATCTTGACGATTTCCAAGAAAATATACCGTCTTACCTTCTACATCAAGAAGTTAAGACATTCTGGTGTAACCCAACCCTTACTCTTACAATTTGTTAACTCCCGTATTCTGCCTATTATTCTCTATTGCTCCCCCTTAGTCTTTCCTGGGCTATTGAAGAAAGACTATACCTTATTACGTAGGATGTTAAAGGTTGTCAGCAGGGTAAGCAGTTTGCCACTTAGCCAGCTTGTTAATATTCTGGTGGACAGGCATATGGACTCATGTGAAAAATGGGCGAAATCCATTTTATCTGACTCACAACACCCTCTACATTCACAACTCTCCCCATGTATCTCTTCAGGGAAAACAAGAAGCCTATATAGGAAACTATATGCCCGCACTAGTAAGTACAAAAACTCATCCATACCCTACCTAGCTCGTGTTCTGTGCGATAAAGAATGCATCAGGCATGAAACCTTTAACTTATTAAATAGTCAGTAGAACCAATGGATCTCGTCTTTCCAACTCACATCATTTATAGGTACAACGTTTTCTCGCTCTTCATTCTGTATTTATTTTTGTTATGTGCTGTTTTGTTTCTCTCTTCCTTGCAAACTCTACTTAAAACATTCTTGTTCGTTCTTTCACACTCTGTATATCTCGACCATTTTGCTATCGCTTACGCCAGTAAATATGCTAGTAGTATCTACTTTTCTAACACCTTCAAACACTTTAATTTTGGCTTTGCTACCGACATACTAATATGTTGTTGAGATAACTTTAATCTATGTAGAACTTTATTTATTGTTAATGTAAAAAACTGGATGCAATATTGTAGTAAAATGCTGAGAATTCCATTCTGTATCACAAGTACTGATTTGGAATAAAGCTTATGTTATGTTATGTTCATCCATCCCTCCAACTTTCATGGTCTTAATCCTCCTATGCTAAAGCATGGTAATCCCCAATTATATTTTAGCTCTACCAATTTTTTGTATTTTTTCATTTTGTCTATTCAATTTGTATTCTCTTCCTTTATTACGTCAATTGTTACTAATACTATTCTCATTCCGAACTGTCCCCTGTATTATTTCACTTGTCATTCTAAATCGATTCTTTTTTACAACGTTAAATCACTACATGACTTACGTGTGCGTCGGTGGCGCAGTGGTTAGGACTCTCGCCGACCATGCACATGGTCCGGGGTTCGAGCCCACGCCGGCGCACACCTGATATCTATGGTCGGCCTGCAAAATTTGGGCTACCGATATCCATGCTGAAAATTCCATAATTGTACCATAAATACAGTGTGGAATCAAGCTGTAAGTCAAAAATAAAAAGAAATAAATTCTATGTGACCAAATTTCACACCATATTACGTAACGTTTTTATTTTATTCGATTTGTCTACTAATCCTATAATCGCACACTCTTTTTCAAGTTCTATCCATCTTACGAATTATTCTATATACGACATTAATTTCGTTTTACCGCTTGACATTTAACTATGATTATAATCACAAACAACAATGATGATCACTAAACCAAATAACAGAGGTAACAGTTCATCTGCCATGGCTGGTATCAAAAAAACAAAATTTACCAAAAAAAGTTTATTAGTGTGGTGACAAATTTTTGCGTTGAACGAATAAAGGTGGTTTAAACTTCCGAATCGCCAGCTAGGGCTTCCACAAAATTTAGGATACGTCCCAAAACACATTTAACAGATAGGTTTAAAAGACGTATAAACATCAATTTTATGTCCTGTCACAATAATATGTTTTGCAATAGAGGAGCTAGGTCCTCATCTGTTCTCACCATTAATTGGTTCTCGGGGATTCTATTTGCTTCTGAAGGCCACTTAGGGAGATACTCTGGAACCAGTCCCTGCTTGCATAGATCGGTGAGTCCTCCCTGTGTATGTGTGTCCACACGTACACTTAAATTGATTAATATAGTGTGATGTGACATCATTTTTCGCATGTTCCAAGGGCTTAGATGGACATATTGGCTTTACATTCTCAGTTATTATTATTATTATCTTTGATGCATAAAATGTCCTTTAACCACAGCGTTCAATATTCGTCTAGTAGTCAAGTTGCTATGATCACCAATATAGGGTAGTTTGATGTTCACATCTTTCTTAGCAGCGAGTTGGAGAGTGAGTCTTGGTGTTCTGACTGATGAACTTCTCTAGATAATTATTATCAACAAGACTTTTTGTCAACTTTCCTTCTTTCTTCTTCATCAAGTGTGTCTTCAATTCATATTCCTTGGATTCTATTAAAGAGGCAGCTTAGTAAGGCTCTTATGTATCGAACAGAGCAGAAACTGTGATAACTGAGATACTGTCCTGACGAAGACACTGTTTGTGGAAGCCGCTCTAACTGGCGATTCGGAAGTTTAAACCACCTTTATGCGTTCAACACAACAATTCGTCATCACACTAATAAACCTTCCTTGGTAAACTTTGTTTTGTAATACCAGCCATGGTAGATGAACTATTACCTCCGTTATTTGGTTTAGTGATCTTCATTGTTGTTTTGACCTTGAATATGTCCTTTTAACTTGACCTAAGTTTAATTTCTCTCCTCTGAACTCTTTGTTAATTTGGTTACAGGATTTCATCATGAGCTGACATTGGTTAGAGAACCATTGGAAACCAGCTGGGAGTACTGGACAGCGGTTTGGTCAGCCTAGTTTGGGACTCTTCATGAGTACGCATCCATCGGGGTTCGAACCCGGGACCTTCTGGTTACAAGGCGAGCTCGTAGACCATTATAGACCATATATATATAAACGATTGGTTAACGTACCTATGTAGTCATTTTGCCCAAAATATGCACGATGTGGAGCCCACATATCGCGTGGTTTAAATTCCGGTAGTACTACCTGTCTATCAGTGTAGTCCAGTCTAGGCAGTAGACCACCATCGTACATACGCGGATTATACCTCATATTGACTGGTTTTGGTTGCATATACGCCTCAGCTGAACCTCCACTAGTCCTGGCTGCAAGTTGACGGCTAGGCACACGTACAACAGTCTTCATCCCAGTGTCTACTTCTTGATCGACAATAGGACATCCTGGTTCCGCATCAGGTTTCACGCCAAGCCTACTCCAATGTTTTCCATTATTTTTTGTTAGATATTTTGTTGAAGTAGTCTTGAATCTTGACAATAATAATCTGTCCCACTTTCCTGCATGCAAAAGGAAGTCATTGGACCAGGAATAAAACAGTAGTCCTTTAGAAGGCAACTAAAATTGAAAAACAAAATGTTTGTAAGAGAAAACAATACAATATTTCTTCAATGATAAATAAAACTTTCAAACTTTATCAGGTAATTTAGGTAAAAGAAAGTACAGCACTCAGCAAGCAAAATACATTTTCGCGCAATAACCAGTGTTAATTCCACCTGTCATGTGAAGGCTTTTGTGACTGAGCAATGATGATTCGATATAGAGTTTGCTTGCATAGTAGACGACTACAACAAGCAAGTAACACTTTATGAGTAAAGGGCTTATGTTGTATTATTCCACTGTCTCTAGACCGATGTTGACAGCGCTGCTCTGGTTTCAGTTTAAGATAGGTTTAAAGTCAAATACTATACTGGTCGACATAGAGTACAGTTTCTAAAGTGTAACATGAATTTGAATAGAGCAAGAACAACAACAGTGGTGGTTTGTGCAGAATAACAAGATGGTACCATCATTGCTTATTTCGTTGGCTTCTCATCAGCTCAGCTGCTTACAGCCTAAAGAAATTATGAGGTTTATGTACAGAAAAGCTTTAACATACTTGCAAATTTTGCTTTCATGATGTCAGTTGACAAAAACTTTCATAATTCGTGAACACTGCTGAGAAAATTACGCTTATATAGTTTTCACACAGGCAATTCAAGCCTAAACAAAGTAAATAATATGCATACAATGGCAAAGGAGTTATGTAGTAAAGAAGAGAGATTCGTTAGATGCTGAGTGACTAATAAATTAGGTAACAATGTACTCAAGTTCAACTCAAATCATAAAAACGAAAGACAAGCAAAATTATGCTATATCAAACAAGGGTGAGGTAGGTTAAAGCCAAAGATTATGCAATCAAATGACAAAATACAGATATCTAGTTGCCAGGGCAAGGGAAGACTTATAGGACTGCTTCTTTCTGAACACATTAATCTGGTTTCAAGCGTTTGATAGAAATTGCTGTGGCGAACTTCAGGAGAATCGAGCTCCTTTGTCTATGGATAATTTTAAAAGATTTCGTCATGAGGTAGAAATCGCGAAAAGCTCAGTTCTCCTCCTCAGGTTTGTCGAGGCAGTCTCTATAAAAATGTCTGAAACCCCATTTATGTGTTCACAAAGAGGTGGTTATCAGCCTTTCCTTGCCCATGCTGGTAACTGGTTTTCTTCACTATCTTTCTCTTTCATTTGATCACGTAATCTTTGGCTTTAACCTACCTCACCCTTGTTTGATATAGCATAATTTTGCTTGTCTCTCGTTTTTATGATTTGAGTTGAACTTGAGTACATTGTTACCTAATTTATTAGTCACTCAGCATCTAACGAATCTCTCTTCTTTACTACATAACTCCTTTGCCATTGTATGCGTATTATTTACTTTGTTTAGGCTTGAATTGCCTGTGTAAAAACTATATAAGCGTAATTTTCTGAGCAGTCTTCACGAATTATGGAAGTTTTTGTCAACTGACATCATGAAAGCAAAATTTGCAAGTATGTTAAAATTTCCCTCATAATTTCTTTAGGCTGTTGTAAGCGAGCAGCTGAGCTGATGAGAAGCCAACGAAATAAGGAATGATGGTACCATCTTGTTATTCTGCACAACCCCCCCCCCACTGTTGTTGTTCTTGCTTTATTCAAATTCATCAACGGGGAATAAATGCACGAAGTATAACATGAATAATGACAATAAATAGATGTCTGGATGTATTTGGCTTGTAATCATCGAAGATCCTCCACCTCGCCTCACCTATTTCAGTATGGAACCTGAAAACCATAAGGATATGAATAAAGAGTAATACTTACTTCCTTACTATTAAAAAAAAATGTAGGAACAGAATTCACCTTGTCAACTAACTTTTACACAGATATTCAAGCCTCACTTCAACCTACACAAACTTGAACACTCCAGTTTGGTTTGTTGTCTGCAATGCTATTTGTTCCCATATAACATCTGAGGGGTGACTTAGGACTCAGCAAGAACTGGCGAGGAATCATGCTCCTATCGACGCCAAGTAAAATCCTGAGTCGCATCATCCTGGAGAGATAATTAAAGACGCACTGGAGACAGAACTCCGACCAGAACAAGCTGGATTCAGGAAAGGCAAATCATGTACTGACCAAATTGCAACTCTACGCATCATCATTGAACAAAGCATGGAATGGCGATCAAACCTCTACCTCAACTTTATAGACTTTGAGAAGGCCTTCGACAGTGTTGGCCGTGAAGTAATCTGGAAATTACTCGAGTACTATGGCGTACCCCAAATATTCATCAATCTTATTCAACAGCTGTACGACAACGGCACATGTCAAATAATCCACAACAGAAAACTCAGCGAGGCGTTTGGAGTAAACACAGGAGTCAGACAAGGGGGCTTATTATCATCCACGATGGTATTCCTAATTGTGGTGGACTGGATTATGCGTCAGACAGTGGGAAACGAGAAGACGGGGATATCCTGGACGGACGTGAAGAACCAAAAAGACCTGGATTTCGCTGATGATTTATGTTTCATGTCACACACAATCGAAGACCTACAAGCGAAAACTGACAAACTGGTCAAAGAAGCAGCAAAGACAGGACTCCAGGTAAACATAGACAAGACGGAGGTTATGAAAATAACCAACCAACCAACCAATAACAGCAACAACATCCAACGTCAATCACCATCAACGGGAGGGATTTGAAAGAGGTTACTTCATTCACTTATCTAGGGAGCATTGTCTCAATTACAGGAAGTCGGAACGGACGAGGATGTCAAATCGAGAATCGGGAAGGCGAGAAACACATTCATCAGCCTGAAATCAATCTGGAAATCTTCGTCACTCAGCATCACCAACAAAATTCGGATTTTCAATACAAACGTAAAGTCAGTTCTTCTATACGGATCAGAAACTTGGCGGGTCACAAAGAATATTTCCAAAAGGTTGCAGACCTTTATTAACAACTGTCTTCGCTCAATACTGAAGATCAGATGGCCGGAAAGAATCACCAACAAGGAACTATGGGAACAAACAAAGCAAGAACCAATCGCCTAACCAACAAATATGCAGGAGAAAGTGGAGATGGATTGGACACTCGCTGAGGAGGCCGCTGGGTGATAAAGCGCGCGTCAGGCCATCACTCGAGTGGAACCCGACAGGGAAGCGGCGAGTGAGTCGTCAGTACAAGGATGACATGGGGGAGAGCGTGTGAAGAGGAGTTGAAAGAATATGGACTAACATGGATGCAGGCGAAAAGTACAGCAGAAGACAGAAGCAAATGGAGACGTGCAGTTGAAGCCCTATGTTCCACTAGGAACCCGAGGGAGCAATAAATAATAATAATAACATCTGAGCGGCATTCATTCACCAGTGTAGTATAGCACAGTAAATATATAACCACAATACCATTCACCTGTGATAACATAAATTCAAGCAATGGAAGAATATGACTGAAGGTATTTCACGTTCATCAACTAATTACTGTAATCAGTTAGAGAACCACTGGAAAACAAAAATCCCTACAAAATCAATACTTGAAAATTAATCTGATGCTCACTAGCGACTGATCCTATTCAGGCAGTGACCTGAGGTTCTAGTGGGAAGCCGTGACCAGTAGGGTAGAGCGGGTTGAAGATGAGGCAGTAACTCATCAAAGAAGACATTGGGAAATGGTCGCGCTATGTCACGCGTGAATTGGCAAAAGTTAGAATTCAAGGACCATTGGATCGCGTCCCAGTGGCTCAATGGTCTACGAGCTCGCCTTGTAACCAGAAGATCCTGGGTTCGAACCCCTGTGGTGGGTGCGTATTGATGAAGAGTCCCAAACTAGGACGAAAACTGTCCAGTACTCCCAGGTTTTTCAGTGGTTCTTTAACTGAAGTCAGCTCATGATGAAGTCCTTCATGCAGACAAACAAAAATTCCTACAAAACCAATAGTTGATAATTACTGTAAGTATTATGGTTGTGGGGTAACAGTGTCTTGTACAAGTTCTCTCTCTGAAGACCAAAATTACTCAGATTACAATTTATGATCTGCTTGATAACACATAACAAAGGTAATGAAGACAGCGATCATAAATACATGACTACATATATATATATATATATATATATATATATATATATATACTACAGTTCCTTGGATTGAGCTGACTAATTTCACAGTAGACATTCAGTTTTACATAATAGATCAAAACCTAAGGAGAACAAGATAGGACGCAGAATAGACATAAAAAGGGATAAACACAACAACCATCAACCCCCCGAGGATCGGACCCAGAGCCTTTAAGGTTGCGAGGTGAGTCTGTCGACCATTCAGACACCTAGACAGGATTCAATGGTCTATAAATTCCTACTTCTGCAAAATTTGCGATACATGGCGCCATTGACAGTCAGTGTCATAGGCAAGAGTATTTGTCCTAACACCCGACCTGTGACCCCCCAAAATGTTCACACGACTTGTCAGAACCAGAACTTCAGGAAACTTTGTCCTACAGTCAGTCACTGTAACTGATATGAATTCGCTCGCGACTTATGGCTCTGGAGAGTACGAAACTGGAATGGAACAGCTGTTCAGTACTCTCGTGTTTCTGCAGTCCTCCTCTAGCTTGAGAACAAATTTCTGTTCAATCAATTTTTAGTGAATATTTACTGTAACGATCACAAATTTAGCATGGTGCACTCTTTTGTGAAATGCAAAGTAATAAAATGTAGGGGGTTCAAACTGAGACCGACATGCATTTTTCACAAGCATATACACCCACCAACAAACAGCAGTTATTCAAAGAAAAAACCTGATAACAATACTCTTGGTACAACAATAGGATCTAACCGAGGGAAATTTATTATCCACAGACTTCCTGTGACGTCGCTGCTAAACATGTCCTTCGGAAGGTTTTAGGTGAAAAGTTAATCCCATAAAGATTATCCAATATGAAATAATACCAGAGAATTGGGTGATTTGACAACTGTTTCGTAAGAGAGTGATGAGTATGGCGGGAAACATGCCCGCATGCATGTAATCATAGTCGATAGAGCTTCATCATAACTTCATTGACTGACTGGCTTGCCTACCTACCACCATAAACCCTGACCTGATTTTTCTTTACTGTATTGCTCAAGGCAAAACGAGAAATCGAATAGTAGCATTAGTGGTCAAATCCTTCAGTCACAGTGGCCACAGCCCACAGCCATATATAGTAAGACACATGTGTCGTTTATTTAGTACACCCATATCACCGATGATACGGTTTAGAAAACTCCAAACGACTCTTTCCTATTCATCTTGGGATTTCATTAGTGTCCTGTGTTCTTCAGGAATGATCCAACTCCCCAAATAAGTGCTATTTTGCAGGTATTCAGCACCATTCCACTCGATAGCCATAAACTGAGATTCAATACAGACTAGTCATCTATAATACAACCCCTTCTACCTGAAGCATGCAAATTATACACTGGACACAACCAGACATTCGCTCAGGGTCTTCAAAAGACTCTGTGTATTGACTGAACATCTTCACATAAAAAGGCTGCGCACTGGTGGGTACAAAAAACCAACTCAATCTAATAGATATTTAGATTTTAATTCATCTCATCCTTTAACTGTTAAGGCAGGCTTAGTTAAGTGTTTAACAAACTGAGCAGTAGCACTAAGTAGCACAAAAAGACCAAAGTGATGAAATAAAACAGATAGAAGAGGCTTTGGTGTTAAATAACTATCCTACAAAATTCATTAGGAAGATCGAAAAAGGCCGAGCGGAAAATAAAAATAATTGTGAAACTAGTAATAATAACATAAATAAGAGAGAATATAAGTCATCTACAGTTATACCATATAAAGAAGGGACATCTGAGTCCCTACGTAGGATTCTAAATAAAACAGGAATTAGGGTGGTAATCAAACCTACAAACTCACTCAGGGACAGGCTCTGTAGGTTAAAGGACCCAGCTGACCCAATTAGACAAAATAATATAATTTACGAAATACCCTGCAATGACTGTGAGGTCAACTACATAGGTCAAACTAGTAGGTCAGGGGTAGTCAGATTACCTGTCAGAACATAAGAATTTAGCTAAGGTAAAAATGGTTGACCCCGAGAAGATAAGTAATTTAGAAAAAAGCTCAGCAACTGCAATGCATGCATTAACACACAACCACACAATGGGGTAAGAGAGGATTAAAATTCTAAAAAGTAACCTAGGTAGGTGGAGAGAAAGGTTGATTACTGAATCCTTGTTCATCGGATCTACACCCAACACATGCAATAGGAATGATTCATCACTTATACGCGAAATATGTTAAATACTATTACCAATCAAATCAAGAGAAAATCAAGTGAAAAATAATGGAACCATAAAAATGAAGTTAGGAAGTCGTGTGAGTACCTTGATATAATTATGAGCAATAAATTGTGCTCGAAACGTCATCAGTAAACATTACTGTATAACACTGTGAGACTTTATCAAAACAAAATTTACCCATAATGGAATTACACTCTATCACAGTGCACAAGTTTTATTCTTATATCAAAAAGGTTGTGTTTCGTCTGAGTTATGTAAATCCAGGAGATCCTACCCTACTAAACAGGCCAGTTCCCAATAAGTTCAGAATTATTTTGGTTGGACACTAGTTACTAGTATGATGTGTCTGACTAGTCCTTTCTTTGGTGCAGACTGAATTCTGTCAGTCAAATTTGCGATGTGACCACCATTCTAGGTACCTCGCCATCACGGTGCACATTAATTTGATGATATATCAGATAGTTGGAGGCAAAGAAAGGACTAGACACGTCACACTAGTTACTAGGTGTCCAATCAAAATACCCATACAGTCTTACAGGAGGTCAATCCCGAACCCGAGTAGCTCAGCGGTAACGTCTCTGACTGCAAGTGACACTGGGTGACGCGGGTTTGAATCTCAGAAGGGACATGACTACTTCCCTTTAAGGTTTCAGATACGCCTTGCTGACTGGTGAGTGCCAACTAGCACGAAACCTAGGTCAAGCAAGGCTTCCTGTGGCCGATTGCCTCCAACTATCTAATATATCATCAAGGTCAAAATAAACAGTTACACTAATCAATATGTCTGAAATAAAATCGAATCAGAGTGTTGGCACTTGGTGACAAATTAAGTGAAAAACATAATCTCATATAAGTAATCTTTGGAATTTGATACCAATCATAACATAAGCAATACTGCAAAAAAGCAAACCATCAGTAGAAAAATTTTTATTTCTCATTCCTATTCCACAAAAATTTACGGTTTTTTTTTAAAGAATAGTTTAAGTTTTGTGCAACAATATCGGAATAATAAATTTTATCTGACACAATACTGTCATAACTTTGTACTTTGTTGACTTTGAAGCAATGAAATACAGTTCACTGTGTAGGTCGTGGTGGGTACTGTTCACTACTTGTACGTGGGATGGTTGCCAGTGGCGTCTGCTGTGGATATGCTTCTGAAGTCATTCGATTAGAAGGGATGTTTTCAACAGAGCTAGAAGGCAAATATTGATTATACTGGGCAGGGACATAGTGTTGTGTTGGGATAGAAGGAGAAACTGAAGAATGTTGTCCAGATGAAGGGTGATAGACATCTAACGATGCATTAGGCTGTTGGCGTCTATCAACAACAGGTGAACGAGTTAATGAATTAGGATGAGAAGTATATGAAGGTCGATTGTTTGGGTAAGGATAGCCACGGTTTTCTTCATTCGATGAAAAACAAGATGGTAATGTGGTGTCTGAGGAATGTTGCTTTTGGTTTGTATCGTCAACCGACGGTGAAATACTCATACCAGACGGATGGAAAGATGATGTATTTTCACTTTTTAAGGACATCATCGGTACGGAACTTTGATTTACGACTGTACTTGTTAGTGAGTAAGGAGTGGAATTTTGACAGTTATCAACTTTTTCAGTTGTAGACGTCAACATTGGATCGTTTGCTAGGCATTCATCCTTTCTGGTGGTTTTTGTGACCATTCCACGCAATTCTTTCTGTAAATGTCGAATTGCCTCGACAAGAGTTTGAGCTTCATGAGATACTTGGTCATGATCTACAGCACCATAATTCATAGCAGCTGGGGTAAAACATTCAGGAGGAAGACCAGCCCAGGATTCCAAATTATTCAACTGAAATTCAACCTCGTTTAATTGACAGAATACATCAGCCAAATGACTTTTAAACTCTTCAGCATTGTAAGTGAGCAAGCTGTAATAATAAAATAATTTTAACTCAAAATAGTTCGGTAAAAACTGGTTGGTATATATATATTTTATTACAAGTGGCCCTGAAAAACAGTCTGCATAGAGTATATTCTAGAAATGAAGAGTGCACACAATAACAATGAAGCTATCATACATTCCATTTAAAGAAGCTACTAATTAGATTCTTCAATTGACTATTCTTTTAATATAGAAAATATCCCCATTTAGACATTTAGAAAAGAGGAAGATTGAGCGAAGAAATATTTACTTTTCAATTAGATCCTCATCTCTGGCTCTACTCTAATATATATAGCATTTTAATTTTACTTTTATTTACTTTTAATTTTACTCATACTCAACATGACAGTTACATCGTCTCGTCAACCCTTAAACTGCAGGTAGCTAAGTATCACTGGAATGTTGACTAACACAACAGAACTGACCAGACTCTCTTAAGATATGAGGTCCCTGCACAGACCATTTACATAATCTGTACTGACGTCTTCTCTATACATCTAAAAAGGAGATAGTAGCGCATGTATGTTTTGGTCTCTTTTCTCTGTCTGTCTGTTTTCGACATAGAACTTTGCACAAATGTGCGGAAGTTCAAGTCGCCACATTCCGTGTAGCACGCGAAGCAAGAGAAGAAAGTACACGAAAAGCATAATAGAAGCAGTGGGCAGAGGTGTGAGACAAAGGAGTAATAAAGAAATACAAAACAGTTTCATTGAAGATCATAAGTCACAGGGAGTGGATGCATCTGCGCCACTGAGAACGATTTTGAGCCATGTCACCAATTGTTTCCAACCATAGATTTTTGCCGTCCCGAGGTCTCTTTTAGAACTGTCAACTGGATTTACCCTGTAAATCGCACTCTACTCGAACTCAGGCAGCCAGGTGAGAGCTTACGGAGAGTTGTCGTTTGAAGTGGTGACAACTAGTGGTCTCCGTCAGAGATGCCCATTATCCCTATTTCTATTCAACTTCATCATAGATGTACTAATGGACTTAACCCTAACTCACTTCAGAGACACAGGCATTGACTTCCTACCAGGGAATAATCTCGTTGACTTAGAATATGCAGACGATATAGTCCTTCTAGGCGAGGACGCTGACAAAATAGAGCAGAGTCTTTTGAACACCTTGAGCTCCAATCTACGAATGTTTGGCATGCGATTAACTCCTGCCAAATACAAGGTGATGTTGCAGAACTGGACTACACTGACTCTCAGTTTAGAAATAGGGAGTGAAGTGGTTGGTGGAGCACGTTGACCGCTTCACTTATTTGGGAAGTACCATCAGCCAGCGCCAACGGGTTGATCTCTGACGAAATCTCAGCACGAAAACAGAGGGCTAGTTTCGCATATGCCAGTTTACGCCGTCTCTGGCTTAGCAGACGTGATATCCGGCTGGCTATCGACCAAATGGCGGATGTACTGTTCATCAGTCCGCTCCATCCTCTTTTATGGCTGTGACTGAGACCTGGTCATTCAGAGTGGAAGACATGAACAGCCTGAGGGGCTGTCTTTGATCATAGGTGCCTGCGTTCTATCTCCCATGTGAAGTGGTATAATTAGGTGAGCAATATTGAGGTTAGGCACCGGTCGAGTTCTAGGTAAGGAGGGGAAATCAATGGACGAGGCTGTGAAATTACATCGATTGAGATGGTTAGGACATGTGTTACGCATGCCTAGTCATCGCCTTCCACGACTGACGGGCAAGGTTAGCTGACATAGGGTCAGCCTGGGAGACAGCTAGCGGCGGTCAAACCAAAACATGGCACCAGTCAATGAAATCCACAACACTTAGTCTAAACCACGTAGGAAGGTGTAGACTTCCTGACTGGTTGGGGTCCTCGGGACGGTAAAAACCAGTGACTGGAGACTATTGGTGATATGTCTCAAAGTGATCGTTCTCAATGACTAGCGCACATGCATCCACTCCTTGTGACTTATGATTTCCAATGAAACTATATTGTTCTTCGTTATTACTATTCCTTTGTCTCACACCTCTGTTTACTGTCTCTATTATGCATTTCTTCTACTTTATTCTCTTGCTTCGTGTGCTACATGGAGTGTGGCGACTCGAACTGTCGCATATCAATGCAAAGTTCTATATCGAAAACATACAGACAGACAGACCCTGTAATTCAGTGAATGTTGATGTCTCCTGATAAAACGTTATCCTAACCTACTCACCCACCCCCGGCTCGACATTCTAGAAACTACATATCCATTGAATAATACTTGGCCTCTAGATAATTGTTTGAGAGAAAAACTTCACAAATTACTTCCATTCTGCATGATAACTGACTTTTATTGTATTGTGCAATCTGTGGGCGGGGACAAGGAAATTGCAAGACGAAACCTAAGAAATGTTTTCCATATATACTGATAATGCTGGTGTGAAACCGGCAGTTAATATGTAGAAATTCATGATTGTATAACGTGAAAAAAATGTTCAGTGACATATTATGGCTATAGCAAGTAGTGTAAATGTGTAAGTCTACCTTATCACAATATATGTACACGATTCGGCTTCAAAATGTGTTCGACTCTTAAGTAATATTTCATGAGTTCGAATTTCACCACACCTACTACTCTGATTACGACAAGTCTGCCTTCGGGTACCTAAAACAGAAAGAGGGTTAGTGTTGCGTGACCGCACAGCCCAGGGGACAACTACTTGAGGCCAGTCGGTCCCACACGGCCTGTATGAACTGGTTTCTTGGTTTGGTTCCGTATTAGTAAACTTACCGTCGATTACGGACCACCGTAGGGTAAGTCGGGATGTACAATCTTTTGGGTCGACCTTTTCTAACCCTCTCTCTCTAGAGTGGAGAGACAGCATAGCTGGTCGGTATGCTGGTCATCTGAGGGAAACACCTCACTGCTGTTACATCACTGTTCCCCAGCAGTTAGACTTCGCCTACAGACCCCCCAGCATAGCGTAAAAACATTCTTCCACTATGCCGGTAACTGCTTTTAGTCTAATCGCTATCCTAACAAGCTTTCTGGCATGGTAGGACCTGCAGGAACAATAGTTCCAGCCAGTGTAACTTGTTGGCTCATTGCAATGTGCAAGCCTGACCACCATATCAAGGTAGCAGCTATCGGTCAGGATTAAGACAAGTAGATACCATCAAATACCCTCACTTAGCCCATAAATTAATACATAAACACCAGTATCTGATCTCTGAATTATTCTCTAATGCTTGAATAATAAAATAATTCCTAGAGATCTCTTACTCATATCTTAAGCAAACGAAATTGAAAGAATGAGCCACAATAATATCTTGTAAAGTAAAAGAAAAAAATGCTTTCAGTACAAGTATGAATGATGCAACTTACTTTCCTAAATCACATTCCATTTTCTGTACAATGACGGTATGATAGTGTTCTAATAGAGCCTTGCAAAATAAAATAATGATAAATAAAGTATGATTATTAAACCAACCTACCATAACCTTTTCTTTGAGGATATTTAAAGAGTTACAATACCTGTCAACCACTGTATCACCACCACGGTTGGTGCTCTCATTCTGCATGTAAACAGACATTAGAAAATCACAGCTTGAATTTCCAAGTTAGACTGCACACTTAGATTGTGAAATATCGTGTCAGAAATATCTGAAGTGGCCTCGTATACTTTTTAATTGATCTAACCAACTGAATGCCCTACAAAATGGAATGTAACGCAAATTAAGCCTAAAATAAATATAAGCAGAATATCATGACAGAAAAGTGGGTGTTTGAAGTTTAGTACATGCACAAGGAATATACCATCGACTATTTTACCAGACATCGACTATTCTATTCTTACTGTATAAAAGATTATGAACTCGCTTTATTCTATTCTTTTTCCTTTTTAATATGCCACGTGTCAGCTATTTCTACTGCTCCTCGCGCTGAGGTGATCAAGTACGAAATCATGAGCTTGGCTGGCAGGACTTCTGTAAGTAACCCCAATTGTCACAGTGCCTTTGTTCAAGTTGATGACACAGCTTGCGGCTTCACTGGTGCCGCTGTCATGATCTTTCGACAACGTTGATCCAATTCCTATGTCATCTCGGATGTATAGGACAACCCCACCACCTTTCCGATTAATTACTCTATCTACTCTAATGCAGATGTAACCAGGTATGAGTGGAATTAAGTCTACACCCAATAACAACCATGTTTCAGTGATAGCAATCATATCATGCTAATTGAAGGAGTTTATTCCTAAGATTACACGCATTCGCATAGCATACTGAAACATCTACGTGTTTATTCGACTAATGAACAGAGGTCTGGGAAACATAGGTTTCATAGGTCTTACTACTCGAAAACCCAACAGTTTTAGGTCTTTTTCCCCTTTTTCTAGTCCAGTCTCTAATTGTGCCACATCTTCTCTTCTTTGGATTCTATCTTACGACGGTTAATCAGGCCTTATTTTCAGCATTTTACACTTGATCTTAAATGCGGTGATGAGAATAATGCTTTTTCCCATCTCGCTCCTCATCTTTAATAGTCATAGGGAACTTTCGGCGGTATTAGCAGTATGTTTGCCGATTCTGATGACCCTTCTTATGTGGACTCCATTTGTTTTTTTCAGGAAGTATTCCACGAGTAATGGAGCTAACCGCCCTGAGATCACCAGCATATCGGACAGCTGAATTTCCTTCCTTCGATTCCTTTAAATTCCAAAGAACGATACTGTAATTTGAGCCCAAAGGTTTCGAAATCATGTTAGTATTTACGACCGTCAAGACGTTGTTACTAAGCCCAATCGTTTTCTCTATCCTACAGTTTTTCATCCTACATCCTTTTCATTTCTTCTCCCTTTCCCTCGCTGCAGCTAGCAGCTATTTGTTCACCAGACACGATGCGTTTTGTCGTGGTATTCTTACAGTGTTGGCACTACTTACCTTCTTCGAGTTTCGGGACTTTGCATATCCTCGCAGACGTTCGGGCATGCTCCGCCTGTCTTGTGTCTAGCACTTCGGGATGTAGTTCTGTCTCAGTCCAGGATCTTCATTCCTGGCATCCATTCCCCTCATCTGGACTATTTGTCAACTTCTTGGGTATGAGAATCTCTATGGCCTCTTGGATGAGGGCCTCCAACGGGCCGCTTCAAAATTTTCACACCCATGGAGACGATGTCTCACTACATTTCAGATTCTTATGGGTTATTGGCAGAGCATCTGTTAGAATCACTCGAGATATGTTCACCTCCCTATATACATCTCTGGTGAGATCAAGACTGGAAAACTATAACCAGGCAGCTATTGTTTGTCTTATAGGAGACCCATATTCTAGAAAAGGTTCGAAGGAAGGCAATACGCATGAATCCTGGCATGACTAATTCATCATACCGTAGGGAGAGAGAAGACTTAATTAGAATGTTTAAAACCATGGTTCTCACACTGAGTAAACAACCCCTGGAACCGACTCCCGGAAGAAGTCGTAATTGAGATCGCAATTGATTCATTCAAGAAGGGTTTGGGCAAGCACATAAATTTACTAGAAAGAGATTCTATAGTCAATCAAAAAATTTGAATCTGATAAGCTGATGGTGAAAAGTTAATGCAAACTTTATGAGCAAACCTTAGGTTGTAGCTATCACACCGCATCCCATCATCCACCGTGAATTGGCAGCCCAGTCATTCACAGTTATTGGTGAGATTCATATCGGCATAAATTGCTTAAATTACACGGACAAATATATATACACATATATATTTACCGGAGCAGAATAATATTAAAAGCACACACAAGGTCAAAAAAGTGAACAGAAGCCAATCCCCCAACTTAATGAATCAGTTAAAGTAAACCAAGAATCCTCCGATATAATTTGCATAACAGAAGCAGAAGTTACTTCGCAACGTATCACCCTTCTTTGAATCACGCGGAATGTTAAGACAGGATAGCGGCACAAATGGCTTACGGAGAGGCTAAGCACTTGAAGGTCACTTATGCAGTCTGTGATTGGTAGATGTTCCTTTGCATAATACATGTTGTACGTTACTGATGCGGGCTTTGAAACAGCAATCATAAAAGCTGATAGATAATATATTTTTTAGCTTAAGGTAAAAAGTTAACAAGTGTATAAATTTCACATATGTGATAAGCATTGAATCCACTGGGTAACTTAAACAAAGAAGTATAAAGTTTGAAGATTTGATCTCTTTCAATTGGTTGTAACGGATAGATAAGAGTCACTTGTATAATATTTGCTCTTTACAGAAGCGAAAATGTGACAGGTGATTTGGAAGTTACGCAATTATTGACATCTATCGTGTAATATATGGACGACTGATTGTTTCCTCCCTTGTTCACATATTCAGTGTATCGAAGATAAGGAATTGTTCACCAGAGGAAAGATGAATTTACCTGATATGTGTACATCCTCAGATATTTCCCAATACGACCGAAGGCATTCGAAGGAATAAAATCTCAATCCCTGCTTGAAAAGTCCACATCCAGTTTCTGCGAACGGATCTGGTGGTGAAGAAAACTGCAAAGACTGGTCCAACACCACTACCGACGAAGGCAAAGTGATGCAGATGTTGCGGATGGAGTGTTTGGTGGACCTTATGATGATTATGACGCAGCTATAAGAAACTCTGCGACTGTGATTTTTTCACTGGATTGTTAATAACTCTTTTTAGTGTAGATATTTACTCTATCATTCTGAGTTATTTTTAACTAGATGGATTATTGTTTCCTTGCAGATATGTGCATTTATGTATTGTATATTGTTGCATTATACTGTTGTTGTCGCTTGTTGCCCTTTTTGCTGTGAATTACTTTACTTTTGCAGGTGTTGTTCTGACTGTTTTATCCCTTCTCTTCCGATTTTAAGGGGAGTAACCCACAAGGTTGCTTCTCTCTAAACTTTATCTTAATGTAACCATTCCTTTCTCAGGCGTTAGGCTAGCAACCCACCTTGTAAACAAAGTTGCTACAGAAACTTCAGCACGATGAATCTCCTTGCTGCAAAAGAAAAAGTTTGTGTGGGTACATGGAACGTCCGCACCATGTACGAGATTGGAAAAGCTACCCAGATCGCGAAAGAGATGAAAAGATACGGAATCCAAATGCTGGGAATATGTGGAAGCAGATCGAATCGGAATGGACTCACCAAATTATCAACGGGTGAGTCAGTGATCTACTCCGGTCACCCAGAAGATAACCACACGCACACCTAGGGCGTGTGCCAGTCACGTCTCGTAAACCGTTAATGCCCATCTCTTGCTACGCTCGGGCTCACGCTGTCGCCTGAAGTTTCTCAGAAACGCTTAGTAATAACGGACGAAAACACCAAAACACCAATTGTTGACTCGGGGATTCTTTATTGTTACACGAACATATAAATCACGTATGACTAAGGTCTGTGAACAAATATTACAATAATAAATCACAATATTACTTCTGACGGTGTTTTACTCTTCTTTCTGAACGGCGACCGATGAGACGATGACTGTCGTATTGATGCCTCCGCGAAAATAGAGGGAAGTTGGTTTTGAGCAAACAACCATGAATTGATCGTTCAATCTTCAACTACGTTGACACTCCCCGTCAAAATACCGATCCATCCCTTTTTTCCATCACGACCAATACACGTTGACTTGGATGCCATTGCGAGAACCTGGGTCACATGGACGGAGCTGAAATGGAAAACAAACAGAAAAGCCAACACACCACAAGCATACCCACAGCACAATCTCACACATCAACGACGACCTGCGCCCTCCAGTTAAAGGCATCCTCTTGACACAACCTCTTGCAACACAATCTCCACTTGCTAGAATGACTTTTGCAGAATGCAACGTGACCATGGCAGCGCCTCATGATACTCTACGCACATCCTCTTATCTATTCACTACCAATTACCAATGCAATCGCTTGTCACTCATTCTGCCTCAATTCTAGTAACGATGACGTATGCGAGCCTCAGTCGTTTACACTCTTTCTCCCCTGCGAGTGGGACCACAGCTAACAATTATCTCCGTGGGTATGTCACTCTCTGCGATAGCCTCCCCGGCGTATACGACCCATCTGCTGTCTCCAACATCAATCAATTCATTCACGGATGTAGAAGAGTGGAAACAACTTCAGAAGTAATCACGACGAAAATTTTAACAAAATTATGTAATAAAAACAAGATACGAAAACAACGAGTAAGCACAATGAATACAAAAAAACACCAATTGATATGACACACCACACGTATATACAAACAGTACAAACAAATTCGCAGATCGTGTCTCGATGGAATTCCTTTGAAGAATCGCAGGACTTACACCAGTACACCTACAACCCTTCTCAGGTTGACGATTGTAAGTTGTGGAATGTCCGGACACAAACAAGATTAACCAACAATTACATCAATTGGAAATCACACAATTATTTAACACAAACATATGTACAATCAACACATCAAATGTTGTGGATTCTGACACGAAAAACTACCCTTGAAGAACTGTAGGACTTACAGCAGTACGCCTACATTCCTTCTCAGGTTGATGATCCAAGTAGAAGTCGTCCGGACACAAACAGAATTACCAACAGCTAGATGACAGATGATATCAATTCAGTATATGCAATATGAACATATGTACAAAATCACACACCAAGCACATTGGGCTGCTCATCGATGCGCTCCCTTTGAAGAATTGTAGGACTTACAGCAGTACGCCTACAACCCTTCTCAGGTTGACGCCCTAGGTTGGAAAATCGTCGCAGAGTTCATTTGCTAACTTCCTTCTATCAGCTATATCCTCAAATCTGAACGGCAACACGCCCACGTCATTGTATCGTAGAATATAGATGACCGACAAACACACGACATATCTCATCAACCAAGTATAGAAACAGAGTAATTTACACCAAAGATAATAACATTCAAATAGTAACTTGAAACTAGAAATGCCTTTATTCGTGCAAGTCAATTTAACAATAACTCTCTCCTTTACACTTGGCTTTTCCACACTAAACTGACCATTGATATTCGTCCTTTCAAACGAACTGATACTACCATAGTCATTGCACAAGATACTTGAGTTCATGGGTGTCTGTTTCATTGTGGATGACAGCACCAACGACGACTGATTGATACTAGTTGATGAACTTAGCAGTGGATCAGAAGCTGTTGTGGTTCGGCTTTCAGAAAATTCTCTAACTGCAAGATTACTTCCACTGCTGTCTTTCACTATCAGCTCAGGTTTAGCACTATCATCTGATGATAGGTGGGCTGCATGCTGATCACTCACACTGACGGTCTCACAAGTATGCATGCCTACTGCAACTGCATCTGCATTTATTTCTACTTCACCTTCAAGTTCTACAGAACCTTTATTTAACATAGCGGTAGTAGGCATTCCCTCCATTTCATCATGATCGACCAAAGACAATTGTGCACTATCATGATCATTATCACAAATATTCAATTTAACATCATCTATCTGGTCGACCTCATCATTATCGAAATCTTTAATAACAGAAGTAGACAATTTTGGTTCCTCCTCGCAAATCCTAAAAGGTTTTATAACTTCACTCTGATTAGTAATACCTTGTAAACTTGTAGGGTCAGAACTGCACTCTGAAGCAGCAACTCTATTCTCTGACACTCTATTCAACAATGGCATACCAGTTGTAACTACAGACTTCCTGACCGCACCGTTACCGTCACACAATTCGGAGTAAGGCCTGGAGTTTACATTTAGCTTATCACTGAACTTGCTCACTGGTTTACAGTTCACTTCTGTATGCACCTCTTGCAAACGTGTAAGACACAACCGTGTTTGTCTTGCATCTTGTAACCTATCAGTTGAGGATGTACCACGAAACCTGTTACACTCACTAAGTCTATATGCATTACTAGACATCATGCAGCCTTCTCAATATCCACCTCTCTGAGGCCTATTCGTCATCAGTGATTGCGTCTTACCCTCAGACTGCTCTATTCTAGGGGTGAGATTCAATATAATGGCAAACTTGCTCATAGATTGATTGACACTATCTTTTACTAGTTTCAGGATATCATCAAATTTTGGCTCGATACCCTCCTCCTCTATACGAGAGCTTATTTTCACCCACTTCCTTTGCAGTCGAGTAGGTAGGCGTCTTGCTATTAATTCTAGTTCAAAACTCGAGTTGAGGTCATTCATGCAATTCATCGAAATCAAGGTATTCTTATAGGTCATCAGATTATCTAGAAACTCAGTAAGTGCCTTGGAGTCATCTTGAAGTTGACTGCCGTTACCTTTGACAGCTTCGTATACGTTCCTTACAATCATTGAAGGTCTTCCAAACCTTTGACGTAATATGCTCATAGCCTCAGCGTATCCCTCATTAGGGGGCATGAGCTTACAGCACTGTATAGCTCTTGAAGCAAATCCAGTGCAATACCTCATCAAATACATCAATTTCAATTCATCACTTAATAAAAAACTACTCAGCATGATCTCAAACTCCTTTACAAATTGTAAATAATCGGCCGGGTTTCCATCAAAACACCGTGGTTCAAATTTAGGGAGTTTGATGTTCCTATTATCCCTGAACGGCGAAACAATAACATCAACCATGTCATGCTTAACATCAGACACATCGTTACAATTAACAGACAAGTCACCATGACTTACTTTCCTGTTTGCATCCAAGACGCTCTGTCCCTTCTTTGACCCAGGCATTGTTGAACTTGACCCAATTCCAGAAACTTTTTTTATTTTTTTATTTTTTATTTACAGGTTGATTCCACACCGTATTTTTGGTACAAGTATGGAATTTTCAGCATGGATATCGGTAGCCCAAATTTTGCAGGCCGACCATAGATATCAGGTGTGCGCCGGCGTGGGCTCGAACCACGAACCATGTGCATGGTCGACAAGAGTCCTAACCACTGTGCCACCGACGCACAGATATTGCTTGTTCAAAGAGGACTTGACCGGCACCAGGAAAGATG